GACGCGCGGGGCGGCCCCGCCGCCTCAGGGCGCCAGGGGACAGCAGCAACGACAGCAACCGTCACGACCGCCGCACCTGCCGCGCGGCGGGGCGGCAGCACTTCACAGCCCCCGCAAGCAGGACGCCCCGGGAAGATACCCACGGCCGCCGGGAGCCTGAGGGAGCGCTCAGGGATCTTCCTGCCAACAGGCCGGGGTCCCCCGCGGGAGGGGAGGGAAATCATCGGGTTTGTTTGACTGACTTTTTTTTTTTCTCTTTAAAAAAGTCTACGATGAACTTGGAGGGCTGCTCACCTGCGTGGGTTCCTCTTCACCTGCAGGGAAGAGAGAACCGGTACCCACACAGCTCCGATTTCCCTGACATACAGTATACTGACGGCCACTGAAAGTCCTGGCATGAGGGAACGCAGTCTGATGGAGAAACTTACGTCTAAAAATCTGCTTTTGAAGTTGTAACTTTTTATGTCTGCTGGTCCTGGGTGTGACTGAGAAATGTTTTACAGGGAACTGGCTGGCGTGAGCTCTGAGAGACTGGGAAAAGAGTGGAGATGTTACCGAGATCAAGAGATGTAACTAGGGAAGGTGACTGCTGCCTCTCCTGTCCTAGCTGCCTTGGTGGGGGGAAGCCCCTCCACCGTGCCCACTGCTTTCAGGTGGGCTCCAAGGAGGGCTGGTAATGTTTATGACAACCATTTGCCTTACATGGCACACCAGCAATAAAAACCCCGTGCAACACTGAAGGTATTTTTCTTAGTGGGCCATTTGGAGGCCTCTCCTTTCACTCCCTGTGATATTTTTAAGATGTTATATTGCTCACAGCTTATTCAGAACAGGCACAAGAGGAAAAACGTTTAATTATTGTCCTTATTCCCACAAGACCTACATCCCCTGCTAGGAAATACTCTGCTGCCGTGGCTAAAGGAATGGGACAGTGCTCCTCAGAGGCAGTGAGGAGCGTTGTTATATAACAGAGAAAAGTGCTTTTTCTCCCCTGACCTCCCAGCTCCTAAGCTCACTTCTGTAGAGCTATTTGTTCCTACTCCTGTTACTGTTTTTTCAGTAGACAGCCCTCCCACTGAGACAAGATCTGCAACCTCTCATCTTGCAGAGATGGAAAGTGCAGCTTTGAACCGAGTTGTGCTTTTTTGAGGGGCAAGGGTGTGTTGTTGGTTTTCTTTAAACAAATAAGCCCTGGACAACAGGGAAAACAGCATTAACAATTACAGGAGTTGACTCTCATGAAATCAGCTGTCGCTGCAATCTCAAATCCCACACTGCTACTCACAGTGCTGATCCCTTACACAAAGCTGTTTCCCTGGATTTGTTTTCTGATGAACAACTATAGTAAAAGTGCATCACCAAAACTACTTCTTGTGTGCTACAAACGTGAAAAGAGGTCAGAGGCCTGAATTCAATTATTTTAGACATCCCTCTCCATAGGTAATCTGAAATTATTTGACTACATCATGACCACAAATACAGGGAATGAAACTTCAAAAACGTACTGTGAACTGCGGATGCCAAGTGATAAAGCAGTTATATTGCCACCTTTTACAAATCCTTCACAAGCCACAACTTAATGGAAAGAATACAACAATTTGCTGCAATTTAGAAATATCTCTAGGGCTTTTCTCAACTTTGTCAAGGGTAAAAAGGGCCAAGAGGCAAGATTGTGAGGGAAGAAACTTCACATGTGCCCACACCTCACCTCTGCTTCCTAGAAATGTAGCATGTGACTTCCTGAGATTCTTCTCTCAGCTTGACAGTGGATTTTTGTGATAAGACCTCCTAGGACTCATTTACAAAAAAGTGCAAAGTCCAAGTAGAATTATATTTAATTCTTACAGAAAAAAAACCATCATACAACTGTACAATTATGGTCAGTTTGGAAAAGCTCTTTCTACTTACCAGATACAGGAACAGCTATCACTCATGGGTATTTACAATCACTAATTATAGATTTATAATCATTATTGCTGAGGCAGAATTTGGAGTTTGGGGTTAAAAGTCAACTTTGAGTTTTGCTTCAGAGGATGCTATGGCCGATCCCAAATCCCTGACCATCTGCAGGACTTTTCTGTCCAAGTACTGCAGCAGTGTTTGGCCTGACCCTTCACTGTGTAATGCATAAAACCAGAAGCCTCACTTTTTTCTTTTTTACCAGGCAGATATGTGGTTTCCAGCTGCCATGGAGATCTGCCACTGCCCACAGAGCGGCTGTCCAACCCCAGGTCTGCACTGCAGGTACTTCATGGCGAGCTGCACACTGTGTTTGCAAAAACAAAAGTAATAAAGAAGCACCAACATCTATTCTTACCCAAGGAAAAGCTGCTTTTTTTGGGGGGGGAATCTCAGGATTCCAAATTTTGCCCTGAAGTCAGCAAATGGTGACACAGCAACTAATTGTCAGACAAGCCATGCTCAGCTACTGAGATTTTTTTGTACTGCACTCTTCTAAGTATTTCATTGGCAAGGAATCGCACAGAAAGAAAATCTGTAAAACACTTCACTTTAAATAAATATTGGGACTGTGGGAGGTTAAGCAAAGGTCAAGTGTTTGGTATATAAAATGTGACCACAAACATAAGAAATTCAATCTTTATTCTCAGAATATTTACAAAATAAATGCTTAACATGTGTTTCAAAAATAAAACATGAACAAGAATTTTAAGTCCACGCAGTATCCGCAATATGGTCCACCTTTTCAAATTTCATGTTGAAGTTCTGGGTTAATTTTACATGTTTATAGAACCATCAGGAAAAAAAGCATAGGTTTCTCCTCTTCAAGTGAATGTTGTCTTCTAAAATTTGGATTACTGACATCTTAATTTATATTCTTTGATATACCAAGTGATCTCCCGCCCGAGAAACTTTATTTGCTATGACCTTATCAGCTTTTTAAGATCAGCCTTAACAAATTACCTTTTATATGGGTAACAATGCAACCACTTATTCAAGATGAAAGATTTTAAAACACAAATTACACATAGAAGTAGTGTAAGAATAGAATTCAAACAAAATGCTCATGTGTAAATACATACCACAAGCTTTGTAATGGTTAAGTGTCATGGTTTAGGTTTTACACAGCTGTGGAGGTATTTAGCAGGTGGAAAACCAGACAACTCATTTAGGGCATGGTTGTAGAGAAGTCTGGCTTCAGAACATTTTAAATTGTGGCCCACACACTACTGAATTTCAATTTCAATCCCATCTGGGTTATAATAGGGCATTAAGTATGGGCTTTCTGTTCAAGATGAGGACCCTCCAAATGATGACACTGGTTTTTGTTGTAAATTACTTTACATAAAGCAAAAAACATTGATAACCAGCATTTCTCCATGCAAGTCTTCCTTTTTACCTTTAAATAAACCTTCTTAACCAGCTCCCAAATAGTTTCAATTTCTGTACAAATTTATTGTTGCTTATATGATCTCTAATTCTTTCAGAGTAGCTTTCTTCTTTCCATATTCCTTTCTTTTTCTTCAAGGCCTTTAGCTCTGCTCGAAGCAGGCTCTTGTGAAGTTTCCAATAGAGGAGGGACTCGTGATGCAGCCCCTCAATTCGTGCTGTTCTGCCGAGCCCGCGGCTCAAGATCTCTTCATTTAAGCACAGACTGCGAAACTGACCCTGTAAAAAGGCACAGTAAATGGGATATTCACTGTTAAAACAGTTTTTTCTCTTTTTTTGGTGTGAACTCCCTCTGAGACACAAGCTTTACTTATGGCTAAAACTATGGCAGAAAGAGTTAAAAGTTAAGATTAATCCCGCTGTTAAAACCTTATACTAATGCACGTCAGTTGTGAGAGAACATTTGATGGACTAAATATTGGGGTAATCAGAACTACACGATACAGCCTGGCACTGTGTGACTGAGAAACACATTCGTGAATCAGGCTGCAAAAATACTGGGCTTGCAATCACATTTACAAATACAGCACTTAAAATTCATATCAAGACAGATAAATTCTAAATAACATCCCTTAAAAGTACTGAGATAACTGAATTGCCGAGGACAGTCAAGCTCAAAACTGCAGATAAAAGCCCGTTTCTGTCACTATATTTACCTTATTCACTAAAACAAGGCACTCAAGCGCCAAGTCCTCCCTTCCCAGGAGCTGGAACCACACCACTTGTCGGGGCTTCACCTCCTGCTGCAGCCAGGCCACACCACCAGGAGCCATCTCCACCCCTGCCAGCTTCACCAGCAGCAAACCCTGTGATCGCCCTGGTTAGAGAGAAAAACATGGTTACTGACTGCAGCAAAAGAAACTTCACGCTCTGCACAGACCCTCAGCTGTTGGTAAGAAATTTATTCCCATGCACTTAATACAAATAATCCATTTTATTTCCCCAAAGCACTGTTTATTCCCAATTAAGCATTTGGTCTCGTCTCTCCTTCAGTAAGAAACTGAATTCCAGATTGCCTTGGTTTATTTTGCATACAAACAGGAAGAACTTTCATTAGCAGTCATTAATATTTTATCTGAAGGGGCAGAAACACCAGGCAAGAAGCACCAGCGCCGCAGGTATCTGCAAAGCAACGTGTGGCTGCATTGAAGGACAGAAAATCTGTCCATAGGAACAGGTCTGTGTATGTGGTGCTGGGATCTTCATCCGAAATGAAAAGTGTAAGCCCAGCAGAATATTTTCCCCAGGAAGGAGATGAGCTACGCAAGCACATGAATGACCTGTGGACAGCTCTTGCTGCCAGAAAAATATAATGACAATGATGCTAATTAATACAAGTAATCAGCAAGCTCTTTTCACAGCTCTCACAGTATTTTATCCCCCAGCTTCCCACTTGTGGAGCACACAAAGACCAGAAAAAAGAAGGCAGAGCCAGAATTGTAACTTGACCCTCCATGCAGACACAACACCGACATCGCTGTGTTCCTCCCCATGCTCTTCACCCTCTTTCACTTACATTTCCTCTGCATTGCCGTGATGAAAGGGATGCTAATTGGAACATGTTCGACTTCCAGGCCCTTGTCAGTTACCTGGTGTAATTTTCCCCGCAACTTCACGTTCTTTTCTACAAACTCCACAGGTATGTCCATAGCACTTGTGAACTTTGTTGTCTATTGATGGAAAGAAGAGCAAGACAAAGATTTTATAAAAAACTGTAAAGCGGTCACAATCACATTAAATCCAACTTCTTCTTAAAATAGTTCGGCAAATTACAGATCTGTTATTAGACAGCACAGGCGAGTGTATATATCTACGTATATATATTTAACAGTAATCAACTACACAAGTCTTTATGTGCCAGTCCTTCCAGACACTTAGGATGTTCTCTGTTTTGCAGGACTTGCAAGGTTTAGAGAAAGACCAGAAACTGCCATTTTTTGAATATTTTTGAATATATTTTTGATATTGAAGTTCATGTGATTCACCATGAAAATTGTGTTTAAGGAGTGCCCTGACCAGGGCTAGAATCAGGGTGAAAGGAAGCCAAAACGTGTTTAAAGATGCTCGCAAAGAAGAGACACACTGAAAACAAAGGCAGAGCAGGAGCACAGAAATGCCACAGCTTTGGTAAGGGAGTGAAAGGAGAGGGACAAAGGCAAGTGCACATCTTTGAAAAGCCCACAAGGAGATTAAATTTGATATCACAGCCGTTGATTAACGGGAGGATTCAAAGGGAGTTACATGAGCACACAGGAAAACAAAGCTTGGCACGCAGCAAAGACTTGGCCAGCAGCACAGGAACAGAGCAGCCGCTGGTTTGGAGTGCAGGGAGAAGAACAGGCACCAGGGATAGTGTGACACCCAAATTTAGGACACCAACTCGCAGAGGTGTCACTGTCAGGAGCCTTTGCATCTAGACAACTGTGACAAGTGCTGATCTGCTCAGGTACAGCTGCTGTCACACACCAGCCCTTGGGGAAATAAAATACCCAAACCACCACGACTGCGCTCAGTGTTTCTCCTGTACGCTATTTACTCAGAAAACCTCCCCGTTCGTGGTCCGCAAGGTCTTCCCTGGGAACGCAGACACTCAGGGCTCTGCAGGAAGAAAGCCTGAAGGTTTTTACAAGTGGAAACTATTCAGATCTGATCTCATTTGCTCTGGGAGCTCCAAAGCTTGGTTAACAGATGCACAAAGCCTTGGGTTAAACAACCAATCACACACAGAATCACAGAATCACAGAACGTTAGGGATTGGAAGGGCCCTCAAAAGATCATCCAGTCCAATCCCCCAATCAACCAAAAACAAAACAGAAAAATAATAGTAATAAAGAATTCTGACAGCGTTTATAATTCAGGCTTTCTGGTAAGATTATAGAGTAAAAATTTCATACAAATGTTCTCCTGTAGCAAACTGCATTTGGAATTGTGCAGAGGGAAGCTCAAAGTAATTGTTATTTTTCAAACAGCTGGCACCACACAGGAGACCAGGTCACTGCCGGCTGCAGAGACCGAGCTTTGGCTGGAGGTAGAGCACTAGTAAGAGCTGTGAATTGATCATTATGTTTAAAAATATTTAAAAAGCAGCTCCGCTCATGGAAGCAGGGAGAAAAGCTGTGAGGAACCCCTCTGTGCACCCCAGGAGGAATGGGGCCCCCGGTATCCGCAGGAGCTGGAGAACAACCTTGTGAATCAGAAACCAAAAAAGGGGCGAGGAAGGCGGCTG